AAAAACATTAAAACCCATTATAACCGAGGGATTCGTTGCATCCAGTGGGGACATAATTACTGATTATAATGATTATAATGATACTGTCTTTTTACGCGTTGCGTTGCATTGCATCGCGCCGCGTAAACATAAAACTCTGTCTGCATTTGTGATCGAAGAAATGACAAACAACAAGTACTACTCTACACTGCCCAAAACTCACGTTTGAATCGTCAGTGGCAAATCCTTTAAATGAAAACGTACTTACGTGAGTCAGAACAGCCGGCATTGTAGTCTACTCTCCCAGGATCAGGAAACAGTCCTCCATAAAATGTGCTGCACGCATCTGAATATTTTGGTTAAACTGTTGGGAACAGTGTTGTAAATACAGCTTAACCACTGATTTGTAGTCGTGTCCTCTTTTGGAAGACCAAACAAAGTAGTTTCGCTTTCACAACGAAAAACACAGTGGCCTAGCGTGAGGGGAAGCCCCGGCTTAGCATGCGCTGAGGCCGGGCTAGAGTGAGCTGAGGCCGGGCTAGAGTGTGCTGAGGCCGGGATAGAGTGTGCTGAGGCCGGGATAGAGTGTGCTGAGGCCAGGCTAGAGTGAGCTGAGGCCAGGCTAGAGTGAGCTGAGGCCGGGCGGTCAAGAACGGCGCGCCCGGCGGATCCGACGAATGGTGATGGATCCCGGGCTGGACTCCGCTTAAAAGTTACGCCTTCTTTCTTTGCGTGAACATTTGGCATTATGCAAATCTTCCCACATAGTGATGTAGATATGTGGGGGTGTATTAGAACGAGCCGTTTTAGGGGGGCGTGGCTGACTCTTAACTTTTATAAAAAATATCTCTGGATTTGAGACTTTAGTCTTTGCAACTTTACAGATCTTCTTTATGCACCATGAGCTTGTAACACTCCAAAGAGAAAGGAAAACTTGAAATCGCATCATATGACCCCTTTAATAACCACTATTAATCTTGTATTTAATCACTTATAATCTATATATTATTATTCAAGGCTGGAAGTGAAAAACGCCTTATATTCAGGTGGGCATTTAGAGAGCACTGAGGGCATCAGGTGAGCAAGCTAGTGAAACATTGCACGCGCAAAAGAGAAGGTCAGCACACATCCAAAAACTTATTTTAAATGCAAAATTGATTTTCTAAATACTTTCTTTTTTGCTAGACAAACATTTTCTCCACAAAACTCAGTTCGCACGCGTGCAAAACGCACTTTTGCATGCTCAAAATATGATCTTTCGCGCGCAGAATTGTGGCAGAGATGTAATCCCATAGAGACTGACCTGTACATGCAGAGCCAGAGAGCAGAACCGGGGGTGGGAATGAAGCCTTTTTATTGGTCGATGCCTGACCAATAAAATTGGATGGTTTCTTTACGTGATGATGTCAGTGTGCCCTTTTATAATTCTGTGTTGTCCTAAGTTTCTTGTGTAAATAAATAAAAAAGGTAGACTTGAGGTTACAGACCATGCAAAAACCAGCTGGTGTCTGGTCATGCACTGTGGACCTGGATTAACATCAGTTTGACACAAAATATTATGTAAAGGTCTTCCAATATAGAAGGATTTTATATGATTAAATGTGCTGGCCTATTCCATAGTAAGTAAAAATTTTGATTAAAAACAACTTCAAGAGCAAAGTATAAATATTACTGTTAAAGTTGAAGTCTTCTGCTGAATACAATAAGCAACATTATTTTAATCAAGTGCAATATGAATTTTATGTGTTACAGCTATATTACACTCATATTATTGGGAAGTGACTGCCTTATCTGCATCATTTTTTATCCTGTTTCATTTTTAATTATGCCTTAATGGCTTTTCATTGGCCTTACTCTGCAATATATAGGATGAACATATGAAACATGAGTTTCTGACCAACGCTTGTACACGGGCTTCAGGGACTTGCAGATGGTTGAGAAGCTTTCAAAGTCCTCGAGTTGATTTGAGATGAACCTGTGTTTGTTCATTGTTTCCAGATGAGGGCAGCAGAGTTCTTCCTGTTTAAACTAGCGGTGTTCAAATCAGATTATACACCTCTCAGTAATCATAATCCAGGAAGAACACAGACATCTCTTTGTTGACATGTAAACCCTAGATAAGAGGAAAAATAATCTAGCCTGTCAGTGTTAGTGTGATGGAGATGTGCTCATTAGTTTTCAGTGATTATGACCGATCCTATTATTCTTATGAACTGGTCAGGAGAATCTGCGTCTGTCATGAAACTCATTTAGACATGTTTCACAGCTTCTGCAGTCATTATCCTCTCAACAGGCTCCTCCAGATCTTCCTGTGGGTTTTATAATGGGCTTTTTTGAGTCTATGGTAAATATAAATGGACAATATTTGGGTTTTTCCGTACGACATAAATTACTCACATCCATACTGAAAACGTGTTCATTTTTAAAAGCGTATGTTTGTAATAATTAACTACATAAACAACTGTAACACAACTGTAACATGTAACATAAGTTTGATTGCATCATATAATAATTGCTGTTAATATTATTCATCTTGTACTTTCTTCTACACTGGAAGCTCCTGTCGTGTGTAAACATACTTGGTAATAAAGCTCTTCTGATTCTGATTCTGATAAGAGCATTTGGAGTGTGTGCAGTTTGTTGTACAACAAAGCATCCAAGTAACGTTAAGTTATGTTTACCATAGACCTTATTTTACTCGTGAATTGAAAAACCCATAAGAAAATCTCAAGGGAACGAATAATTCTGGCTTTTGAAATCATTTCAACCCATTAGATTTGGTGAAAAGGTTTGCATGCAGTTTTTATTTTTTAAGTTTCACACATTTCTGTTCTCCAGCATTTTAATCCATATAAAGTTATTTATAAAGTTAGTTGTGAATGAATTATCATTTGTGCGTGTCTGCCATGCATCAGCTATCTCTTCTGTTTGCAGAGCACAAGAATAAAGTCTACATCATGAGAACAGACGTACCGGACACAAATCTGCAGCGTATATTCTCTTCTTCATCACACTGAAAACACAATGCTCCTACTGTCTGAAAGCTTTGTTCTTAAATGGGCCTGAATCTGTACGTCATGTGATCACGTGTACATTGATTTTAAAATCCTCATTGTGATCCTTAATGTCAGCTGTGTTGTCTAATTTCCTACTTTGTTCACGCCGGCCCTGTATTTTCTGCTTTAGTTCTGCCGTCTGTGTTTACACTGCATTTTCATTCTTTCATACAGTTCATGTTGCAACAAAAGTTTAGTTCTAAATTTTAAGTGCCATTGTTTAGAAAATGCTTCGTTGACTGACGTTTCAGACATTCAGTTGTTATGGTTTCAGCTTTTATGCCAGATGTGTTTCTATCTGTATCTTAAATAAGAGGGGTTGAGGATGTTTTAAGTGTTGCTGTCGCTATCACATGTTACTACACAACTGCAGTTCTAAAGTGGTCGTGGAGGCGTGTGGCAACAACAGAAATATTCTCCATGTTACTCAGAAAACAGATACAGCTTTAACTCTCCGTCTCTGGCCGTATGCAGATTTCCTAAAAGTGCTCCAATTGTTTTTGTTGTCGGATACATTATGGGATGTTGACACGTTATAGAAGCGAAAATGGTGTGTAAAATTGATTTTAAGATTAAGAAATAGATGATAATTAACTTTTTGGAAGTTTTTGGCCAAATTAGAAAAGGATTTAACACAAACCCTACAACACATTAGTGAATCAGTGGGACTGAACTTGACGTTTGTAATGCTTTCTGCTTCAGAACACATTTAAGAAGCTGCTCGAGCCAGTTTTCGACGCTCCTCAGATGAGATAAAGTCTTTGGACCGGATGACAGAGCGGCGAGTCTAAACTTTAAAACATTCCTGTTGTCTGTTAAACCTTTAATTTCATGGCACATTTTAGTCTGTCAAATTACAGTATCAACTGGATTATTATTGTTTTAACTTTATTTTTGTGTGTGTGTTCATGAACAGAATAGATTGAGTTAAAAAAAGCTTGGCAGAGTTGAAGAAACCTGAGCTCATGATTCAGTCAGTAAAACATAAGGTTCCTCTAAATGAGTCCACTCATAATATAAATGATATATACATATATATATAAAATTGCAACACAATTAGTGAACATCGTCACAGCTTTATTTCATTTGAATTCGTAAATAGAGGTTGACATTCGCTTGTAGAACATGCTCCGCATGTCTTCACGCTGAACGTGTTGCAGGTGATGAACTATGATAGTTTTTATGTTCGTTTCTCACTGTACAACTTTGTCAGTTTTGAATAAAGCATTTAGTGAAGTGTGTGAATAAAATACTATTAAAACAAACCATTACAGATTTTTGTGTTTATTTTTTGTGGCACTGTGTGCAGATGGAAACAATCGAAAAGCTTTGGATTAATGTTTTATTATTATAATTATTTCAGTTACGGTCATAGACATACTGTTTCTCTGTCAAATCAGCATGTAGCAATTTCACCAATAAACTGAAAATCACTGACCATCAATCAAGTGTTTATCAGGTTAGAGCTGATTATTTATTCCTAAACTCTCATTAAAACAAAACAAGGTTTTGTATATTTGAGACCAGTGTGTGCTGCTCACAAAATGTTACATGCATGCACACAGAACAGTGGTCAATGAGTTTTTCATATATTTAGATTTCCTTTCATATACAAATCTACTTTGACATATTTGTGGGTTTTCAACCATTCTATCACGATGACTGCTTGTGTGTACTTCCATGTTTTGTTCAAAGTGTTCATGTAGCTCAAAGTACATGATACCAACTGAAACGCAAATAATGGAACTAAAATCCACTAGCACAAATAATAATAAGCAAAGTCATGAAAAGTACAAATATCTGAAATTTCAGGTAATAAAAAAAGGAATGAAGTAAAACTGTACAAAACAGGAATGACAAATTAATTACTAAAACCTAAAAAATGACCAGTATCTGAACTAAAAAACTGAGCATTTTAACAGTTGACGAGCTGCAAAGTCAGACGAACTAACTGGATTCTTTTAGAGGTGAAGCTGTTGTGGAGAGAAGAGGCTCGTTAGAGAAGGCAAATTAAATGAAGATTTCACATGCATATTTGTGTTGATCTTGTAGATACCGATCCCTCCTCATGCTCAGGGGTTTACAACATTAGCAAGCTGGTCCTTCTTTTTACAAGGTTAGTTTGGCTCAAGAGGGACACGAGCTGGTTTGGTGCACAGTCGTCTCTTGTCTCATGAAAAATCGTTTCACACACGCTGCGGTCTCGTAATCCGTGTCAAACACTGCACTGTGGTTAGAAACAGGTGCAACAAAAGATGCAAACATGCTTTGGTCAGACCTTCTGGTCTCCGGTTCAGTCCGGGTGTTTTGTAGTTTTTCTCCTGTAATGCACGGCAGTCAATAACCCACGGCCTGCCTTCCGCTGCGTTACACGGAGCCACGCTGAGCCGCTGTTACGCATCACTGCAGGCTCAGAGAGTTTTCTGCAGCGTTTGTACAGCTCAGAGAAAAAAAACACAACAGTCATCGCTAGACAACGTGTGTTTAGGACTAAAGCACGAACGCTGTCCAAGTAAACATGCTGAAAAGGTTTTCTCTTCTCTAAAATCAACCCACTGGGATTATGGGTAACGTGTTTATGACATTACTGACTTAAGGCAAAGTTCTTCAGAATTCATTCGTAGTTCATTCATGAATCTCAACAAAGGCACTCCATCTTTGAGAAACATCTGTAAAGTGGCACTGATGCGTCACGGCGCCACCGTGAGGTCAATCCCTGTAGTGTTTATGGTGAAGTACATCTAGTGTCTTACTAAACAAACAGCGGGTTTCTGGAGCCTGTAGAGGGTTTGTTGGGCGCCGTTTCTCCATCCGTCCCTCTGTCAGAACGATCTGCTGGCTGACGTCTGCGACGAGGTGTGCGCGCATCGAGCCAATGGGACAGAAACCTCCAAAAACAAACATCTCAAGTGACTTCAGCTTGAACGTGTTGCGTTGGGGCTACAGCGCTAACGCGGCGAGTTAGCCTTTACCCTGACGTCTCTCTCTGCTCAGCGAGGATCTCCGTCAGACGAGACCAAGTCAAACTGACACAGAGACCCAGAAGAGCTCTGGGAAAACGCTCGTCCCCTACATCGGCGGCTCCTCTTCCATGGGCTCATCCTCCGTCCTGAGCAGAAACACAGCAAAGCCGGTCACACGACAGAACCGAAGGACAGGCGGAAGGAAGAAAGCAGGGAAAGCGGATGTACCTTTTCTCCAATGCTGCGACGGATAAAGAAGCCATTGCCGTCACCGTCTCGTTCTCTTCAGAATCAACCCTCTGAGCTTCCAGCAGAGACAAACCCACGCTGGACGCGACCCGCTGGACACACTGCCAGTACTGACCTAAACACAGAGAACAGGACACACAATCAGCTCCACTGACAGCATCTGTGGCCTTCAGTTTGTAAAAACAAGCCAAATTCAGAGAGTTCAGCATGGCGTCGATCACGGCTTTGATTCGCAGGGTTCTGAGAACATGTACAGCTCATCTCGACCGCAACACAAACCGTTCTGGATTATGGGGTCTGTATATAAAATAAAAAATATTCACACAGAGAAGAGGTCAGTGAGTGAGTCGATCACACTAGCGCTAACGGTCAAACTGTATTTTAATGTTCGTTTTGCACTGTAGCTGTCCACTGTGAGACATACGGAACCTGGAACAATATTTGACAGGAGTAAACGATTCTTCTTGAAAAGAAATGAAGATCTGAATGACTCACTGTGATTTTCTAGGACTTTCTCTATGGAGCAGACACAAGATAGTAGTGTTTTCCATTTCTCATATCTGTGTGTAGTTTGGCTAATCATTTGTGTGTAGAGCTTTAATGCAAAAACACAATTTCTATAGGAGTTAAAATACTTTGGGGGGGAAAAAAAGTGTTTGCTTTTGCAAGAGATGCATAATGTTTTGTTTGTAGAGTTTAGGAGCCATAGTTTCAGAAATTGTATGCAGGCAATTGTTTAATGACTGTAATATTTTGTGTCAGGCTGAAGATCCACAGGAACTGCACAATGCCCGTCTGTCACATTAATAACCTGCAGTCCAGTTTCGTTCATTAAAGTGAAGGTTTGTGTCTCTGTGAACGCTTGACCTCACAGGACGGTGGTTATGCCGATCGCTAGCGAGTTTGCTCCAGATCTGGTGCTGGTGTCGGCAGGGTTTGACGCGGTGGAAGGACACCCTCCTCCGCTGGGAGGATATAAACTCACCTCCAGATGTAAGCTTTACTATGAACTCACTTGTGTCCGGCTGTATTTTTTTTTTGGTTGGTTTCAGTAAAAGCCACCTATGTGGGTGTGTGACAGGTTTGGGTCACCTGACTAAACAGCTGATGGGGTTAGCTGGGGGTCGAGTGGTGCTGGCGCTGGAGGGAGGTCATGACCTCAGGGCCATATGTGACGCGTCCGAGGCCTGCGTCTCAGCGCTGCTGGGGATAGAGGTAAACGAGTTCCCATCATCCTTTGCTTTGTAAGTTTTCATTTGCGTAAGGCGGCTTGTTACAGATTTGTGACTTTGATTGCTTGTGTTTTTGTGTTGAACAGCTAGAGCCGCTTTCTGCAGACATCCTGAAGCAGAGACCCAATGAAAACGCTATGAGCTCCATAGAGAAAGTCCTAGAAAATCACAGTGAGTCATTCAGATCTTCATTTCTTTTCAAGAAGAATCGTTTACTCCTGTCAAATATTGTTCCAGGTTCCGTATGTCTCACAGTGGACAGCTACAGTGCAAAACGAACATTAAAATACAGTTTGACCGTTAGCGCTAGTGTGATCGACTCACTCACTGACCTCTTCTCTGTGTGAATATTTTTTATTTTATATACAGACCCCATAATCCAGAACGGTTTGTGTTGCGGTCGAGATGAGCTGTACATGTTCTCAGAACCCTGCGAATCAAAGCCGTGATCGACGCCATGCTGAACTCTCTGAATTTGGCTTGTTTTTACAAGCCAAATTCAGAGAGTTCAGCATGGCGTCGATCACGGCTTTGATTCGCAGGGTTCTGAGAACATGTACAGCTCATCTCGACCGCAACACAAACCGTTCTGGATTATGGGGTCTGTATATAAAAAAAAAATATTTACACAGAATCACTTACTGACCTCTTTTCTATCACACTAGCCTCTAGCGCCGTATTTAATCAAGTTTTGCCCTGTAGACTTCCACTGTAAGACATTTCATTCTTCTTGAAAAGACCTGAATGACTCACTGTGATTTTCTAGGACTTTCTCTATGGAGCGCACAGCGTTTTCATTGGGTCTCTGCTTCAGGACGTCTGCAGAAAGCGGCTCTAGCTGTTCAACACAAAAACACAAGCAATCAAAGTCACAAATCTGTAACAAGCCGCCTTACGCAAATGAAAACTTACAAAGCAAAGGATGATGGGAACTCGTTTACCTCTATCCCCAGCAGCGCTGAGACGCAGGCCTCGGACGCGTCACATATGGCCCTGAGGTCATGACCTCCCTCCAGCGCCAGCACCACTCGACCCCCAGCTAACCCCATCAGCTGTTTAGTCAGGTGACCCAAACCTGTCACAAAACCATGTTGGTGGCTTTTACTGAAACCATCCAAACAACAAATACAGCTAGACACAAGTGAGTTCAGGTGTCTTGTTCACAGTACAGAGGCGGCGCTTACATCTGGAGGTGAGTTTATATCCTCCCAGCGGAGGAGGGTGTCCTTCCACCGCGTCAAACCCTGCCGACACCAGCACCAGATCTGGAGCAAACTCGCTAGCGATCGGCATAACCACCGTCCTGTGAGGTCAAGCATTCACAGAGACACAAACCTTCACATTATCAACTAAGCGTGACTGCAGGTTATTTATGGGACAGACAGACATTGTGCAGTTCCTGCGAATCTTCAGCCTGGCGCAAAATATTAGTTTTTAAAAAATTGCCTGCATACAATTTCTGAAACTATGGCTCCTAAACTCTACAAACAAAACATTATGCATCTCTTGCAAAAGCAAACACTTTTTTTCCCCCCCAAAGTATTTTAACTCCTATAGAAATTGTGTTTTTGCATTAAAGCTCTACACACAAATGATTAGCCAAACTACACACAGATATGAGAAATGGAAAACACTACTATCTTGTGTCTTTTGTTCAGTGTGCAGTGGAGTTTGTCACAGCACTCACATGCACAAGTGCAAAAATACACTGTATAAACTGATGAACGTCACAGTTATTGAACTGGACTGAATCCTCACTGACCTGCGCTGTAGAACCACACTATTGGCTTGTTAGAGCTGCTTTAATTTGAGTTCGTTACTCCTGGTGCCTGTTCTTCGTGTGTGGATTACTCGATTAGCTGGATTTTATTGTTGGCGATCTGACAGGATCCAGGATATTTTGGTTCTTCGAAGCTCATCCTGGAGTTGTTGTCATAGCAACAGGTCCGCTAGCTCAAACCTGCTCGGGAGCAGCTTATTTAACGAAAACAGGATTAGTTTGTCTCGTTTTAAGTGAAGATGATACTGAAAGTCTGTCCCAGACACTGCTACTTTCTTACAAGAGCACCATACCGAACCAGGAAAATGTATTTTTAAAAATAATAATATTAATAATAAAATTAATTGGTAACACTTTACAATAAGGTTCATTAGTTAAAATGAACTAAGTTTGAGTAATACTTCTACAGCATTTATTAATCTTAGCTAATGTTAATTTCAACATTAACTACTGCATTATTAAAATCAAAAGTTGTGCTTGTTAACATTAGTTAATGCACTGTGAATTAACATGAACGAATGTATTTTCATTAACATTAACAAAGATGAATAAATACTGTAATAAATGTATTGTTCATTGTTTGATCATGTTAGTTAATACATTAACTAACCCTAACTAATGGAACCTTATTGTAAAGTGTTAGCAAAAATGTAAAATATTTAGAAAATAATTAAAATGTTGCGTAATCTATAATAACAGACACGGGCAATTTGACTCACTGTGAGATTTATTCGTGAAGGAATAATTGTATTGCAGTCACACACATGACGTACAGTTAGCCGTGCATTAATTTGAGCGTGAGCTTTTATGCGGGTGATGCAGACCACTTCTCAAATCTCAAAATGCTTTTATGATGCACAATTAATTTAAACACAGTCAGTTATGTCTTAAGGGATTTAGAAACTTTAATTAATGCGGTCACACATAGCAAATCCCCTTCAAAATCAATGAATTGCTAATTACAATACTCTTGACATTGAAAAATGCAAAGCCTGTACAAATACCAGAAATGGTGAAAAATACTTGGGAATCATTTAACAAACTGCTACACATTTTATTTATGCGTTATAACTTTTGTGTAATTTTGCTCACTTGGCTGCGTCCCTGATCTTAATTACAGTATATGATGTCATTACGTTGATCTCTTGCTGCCAGCCAATCACTGCACTGATCATGGTTTCGAGTATCGGTATATATCTGCCCTTTCTGATGAACATGTCAACTCGGAGTAATGTTTGCAAACTTGTTTGAAGAACCGAATTAGCCAGAGGTCAGTAATCAGGATTATAAGATCTGGCATCTATCAAATCCTCTCAGATGTGTTCAGCGAGGTACGAAGAACGGATCCCTGCTTTGACACAATCTGTACTGTATACAGCATTATAGAAATAAAGGTGACTTGACTTGTATGCATATCCAGTGTAAGTACTGTACATAGTGCTTTATACAATACAGACGGTTTCAAAGCAGCTTTAGTGATGAACAGGAAAACAAAATTTAATTCTGCTGTAAGGTAGCTCTTGAAAGAGGACAACAAGTAAACAGTCAACATTCAGTCGAAATCAGTTCATTGTTCAATAACTCTGTAAATCCATTAATTATGAAATGAGTTTAATTACTCTATAAAGCAGCTAGAGTTTGGATTTCTAAATGATCTACTTGGGTATATTTACACTACAAAAATAAATGCAAGGGAGTAAAAATTATTTATTTCTTCCGCAAAACATTAAGTTTTGATTTCTAAGTGAACAAATGATGTGGAAATGGTTTCACACATGATTAGCTGTAGGTAATCAGCAAATAAGTGTGGCATTTAAATGGCAGCGTTTCTCTAATTAAACAAGAGCTGTTGGTTTAGAAAGATTTGTCTAATGCAGAGAACTGTGGTGATTTTACATAGTTTTCTACATAGCTCACATCTAACTGGATTCTGTTCAACAGTCGAAATCAGATTCTGTCCTTAAAACCACAAGAACAAGCGACTGCTCGACAAACAACACAACTTGTGTGTGTGAGAGAGAGTGTGATCTTGTATTTAAACACTAAATCACCTCCTGAAGTCTTAAAGCATCAGTCACACTCACAAACAGCTGACCGCTGATGAAGTGAACAGAACTGACGAGCAAACGAAGAGCGAGCGGAACGTGTTTGATGAGAGACGCAATACCTGAAGGCAGCGAGGTATTCTGCGTCGCCCATCGGTGGATCCAGACCTCCAGTAAACGCCATGTTGACATTGAAACTGACTCCCGGCCCACTGCCCACCTGTTCAGAGGACGTGCTGCACGAGTTAGGAATAAATCAATCTTCCCACAATCCACTCACTCGTATCATCGCATTACCTCTTCAGGAGCGCCGCTGCCCGGAAAGAAATTGCCATCGTCATATCGATGAAGCGAAACGTACAGAACTCTGGGATCGTCGTAAAACGCTTGTTGTGTTCCGTTGCCATGATGAACGTCCTGAATGTGGTTTAAGAAAAATTATCAAATGTTAAACAGAAAGAAAAGAAAATACAGAAGTGCCAAATAATTCTTCTAAATAAACTCACCCAATCAACAATCAGAATTTTGCCGACATTGAGTCTTTGCTGTAGGAGTTTAGCTGCTATGGCAACAGAGTTAAAGTAACAGAAGCCCCTGTGATTGGACGAGAGCACCAATGTTACAGGAGTAAAGGAAGAAAGCACAGAGCGACACAAACACAGAGACGCGTCTCACATGGGCGTGCTCTCCTCTGCGTGGTGTCCCGGCGGCCGGACCACAGCGAAGCCGTTCTGCAATGAAGCCAGAGACACACCGCTCTACGTCAATCAAATAATACAGATAGACATACAGATACACATGAAGAGAGAAAGACAATGGCAGACGGCGACCTTCAGCTCTCCCGATGCCACTTTGAAGACGAGTTCGACCACAGAACCGACGGCCAGACGCGCTGCGCTCGACGAGTGAACTTCATTCCAGACCGTGTCACTGTCCACCTTCACAGACAAAGCAGAAACCTTCCTTACATGCTGCATAAATGATGAAGAGATGGTTGAGACGGACTTTGTCTCTACTAACCCCAATACCACCACACGGCAGCCTGACGAACATGGAGATGACAGAACCTGAGCCAGACAGAGAGAAGACGACATATCAGAGATGCATTCACACCGCAGAGTCTGAGTAAATGATGAGGGGATCTTCGTTTTGGATTGTAAAAGTCTTACTGTCCAGTTTCTGCCGTAGTGGGTTGGTCCCATACAACATGACATGAGCTTCAGAATGAACCGTCTGCAGTTCCTCTAATGTGGCTTTTCTCCCACGGATACACTGAAAATACAGGACAGAGAGATTGACTGGAGCACGAGAGCGCCCCCTGCTGACACATCATTAGAAGTGCTGAGGTAAATAAAACAGCAGCCTCCAAAACCCAACACTCACCAGTGAAACGTAGCTCTATTATCAGGAAGCACAACTCAATGCACCGTTTGAATCAAACTTTAAGGACAACAATCTTTAACTTCACATGAGTGATTCACACTAAACTGCTCGAGAGAAATATGGTACTCCTGTGTGTTTCTGAGTGGAAAACTATTTTTTTCCTGAACTTTGTGGAATATTTCTCACATTAAAATGACAAAATCAATCATGTTTGTGTCACATGCAGAGTTTAAGTGATAGAGATCGATTCAGCCAGTGCATCAGAAACTAATAACTCCAGTATTCATGTCCCACCTCACACTGGCTGCGCAGGCCCGTCTCCTGCAGCCGAGACCAGATGCTCTGGATGCGCCCGGCGTGTTCGGGGTGCGCGTTGGTGTTTCCACACATGCACTGGTGCTTCTGCATGAGAGAGTCATACACCAGACCTAGAGAAAGAAACTTTAACTGGAGCGCTCATCCTTGTGAATTCTGTTTTGAGGTCACAGAGAGGACAGGTGTGACGCACCTGTGGTAAAATGTGGTTTGGAAGGCTGCTCCTGCGAGCTGATGAAGGAGGCGGAAGCAGGAGATGACTGGGCTCTGGACAGAGGACGGTGCCCTGGGAAACTGACCAATGCACCAGCCTCCTCCATGGATGCCTGGTAGTTTCTGAGCTGATGGATCCTCTGCTGCTCCAGTAAAAGAGCCTGCTGCTCTCACACACACACACACACACATTACAGGTGCTGTGCACTGACAACAACCACAAGAGGGCGACACATACGCAGCGTCTCTCTCACTGCTCTCCTAGGTGTCTCTAGCTCTAGGTGTCTCGCACCTGTTTGAAGAGCAGCTCTTGTTCTTCCGGTCTCTGCTCCTCTGTGAGATCAGGAGTTAAAGCATCAGTCACACTCACAAACAGCTGACCGCTGATGAACAGATCTGATGAAGTGAACAGAACTGACGAGCAAACGAAGAGCGAGCGGAACGTGTTTGATGAGAGACGCAATACCTGAAGGCAGCGAGGTATTCTGCGTCGCCCATCGGTGGATCCAGACCTCCAGTAAACGCCATGTTGACATTGAAACTGACTCCCGGCCCACTGCCCACCTGTTCAGAGGACGTGCTGCACGAGTTAGGAATAAATCAATCTTCCCACAATCCACTCACTCGTATCATCGCATTACCTCTTCAGGAGCGCCGCTGCCCGGAAAGAAATTGCCATCGTCATATCGATGAAGCGAAACGTACAGAACTCTGGGATCGTCGTAAAACGCTTGTTGTGTTCCGTTGCCATGATGAACGTCCTGAACGTGGTTTAAGAAAAATTATCAAATGTTAAACAGAACGAAAAGAAAACACAGAAGTGCCAAATAATTCTTCTAAATAAACTCACCCAATCAACAATCAGAATTTTGCCGACATTGAGTCTTTGCTGTAGGAGTTTAGCTGCTATGGCAACAGAGTTAAAGTAACAGAAGCCCCTGTGATTGGACGAGAGCACCAATGTTACAGGAGTAAAGGAAGAAAGCACAGAGCGACACAAACACAGAGACGCGTCTCACATGGGCGTGCTCTCCTCTGCGTGGTGTCCCGGCGGCCGGACCACAGCGAAGCCGTTCTGCAATGAAGCCAGAGACACACCGCTCTACGTCAATCAAATAATACAGATAGACATACAGATACACATGAAGAGAGAAAGACAATGGCAGACGGCAACCTTCAGCTCTCCCGATGCCACTTTGAAGACGAGTTCGACCACAGAACCGACGGCCAGACGCGCTGCGCTCGACGAGTGAACTTCATTCCAGACCGTGTCACTGTCCACCTTCACAGACAAAGCAGAAACCTTCCTTACATGCTGCACAAATGATGAAGAGATGGTTGAGACACACTTCATTTAATTCTACTCACCCCAATACCACCACACGGCAGCCTGACGAACATGGAGATGACAGAACCTGAGCCAGACAGAGAGAAGACAACTTATCAGAGATGCAGTCTGTGTCTGAGTGAACCAGGGGTGTCCAAACTCGCTCCTGGAGGGCCGCTGTCCTGCAGAGTTCAGCTCCAACCCCAACAAAACACACCTAAACCAGCTAATCAGGGTCTAACTAGGTATACTAGAAACTTCCAGGCAGGTGTTTGGGAGCTGGTTGGAGCTAACCTCTGCAGGACTGAGCTTGGACACCCCTGGAGTAAATGATGACAGGATCTTCTTTTGACTTGGAAATGACTTACTGTCCAGTTTCTGCCGTAGTGGGTTGGTCCCATACAACATGACATGAGCTTCAGAATGAACCGTCTGCAGTTCCTCTAATGTGGCTTTTCTCCCACGGATACACTGAAAATACAGGACAGAGAGATTGACGAGAGCACGAGAGCGCCCCCTGCTGACATATCATGAGAGGTGTACTGCCTGCAGCTCAGCGCCTGAGGAAAATAAAACAACAACAGGGTCCAAAACCAGCACTCGCCAGTGAAACGCAGCTCTAATATTAGGAAGGGCAGCACAATGCACCATTTGAATCAAACTTTAAGGATGACAATCTTAAACTCACGTAAGTGATTCAGAGAAAAACGGGACTCGCGTGTTTGTGAACAACTATCTATATAAAAATTGACCATCAGATCCTGAACGTTATGTGGAAAATTCCTCACATTAAAATAGCAAAACAAATTCACAATTCGTCTGGAGGTTTTTGTTAGGTTTTTGATTCAGCTCAAGCATCAAGCTGTTTATCAGAAATGGACAAATAACTCCCAATATTACAGAAGAAAAAAAAACAAAGATTTATTTTAAGGAAAATGACGGCCATTAAGAAATGTCTCCCTTCTCTGCAGAATGCGATATATCCGCTCAACCAATCACAGCGCACCATTCCACGCACTCTAGACAGTACCAACCAATCACAGCGCACCACTCCATGCACTCTAGACAGTAACAACCAATCACCGCGCCCCATTCCATGCACTCTAGACAGTAACAACCAATCACCGCGCCCCATTCCATGCACTCTAGACAGTAACAACCAATCACCGCGCCCCATTCCATGCACTCTAGACAGTAACAACCAATCACCGCGCCCCATTCCATGCACTCTAGACAGTAACAACCAATCACCGCGCCCCATTCCATGCACTCTAGACAGTAACAACCAATCACCGCGCCCCATTCCATGCACTCTAGACAGTAACAACCAATCACCGCGCCCCATTCCATGCACTCTAGACAGTAACAACCAATCACCGCGCCCCATTCCATGCACTCTAGACAGTAACAACCAATCACCGCGCCCCATTCCATGCACTCTAGACAGTAACAACCAATCACCGCGCCCCATTCCATGCACTCTAGACAGTAACAACCAATCACCGCGCCCCATTCCATGCACTCTAGACAGTAACAACCAATCACCGCGCCCCATTCCATGCACTCTAGACAGTAACAACCAATCACCGCGCCCCATTCCATGCACTCTAGACAGTAACAACCAATCACCGCGCCCCATTCCATGCACTCTAGACAGTAACAACCAATCACCGCGCCCCATTCCATGCACTCTAGACAGTAACAACCAATCACCGCGCCCCATTCCATGCACTCTAGACAGTAACAACCAATCACCGCGCCCCATTCCATGCACTCTAGACAGTAACAACCAATCACCGCGCCCCATTCCATGCACTCTAGACAGTAACAACCAATCACCGCGCCCCATTCCATGCACTCTAGACAGTAACAACCAATCACCGCGCCCCATTCCATGCACTCTAGACAGTAACAACCAATCACCGCGCCCCATTCCATGCACTCTAGACAGTAACAACCAATCACCGCGCCCCATTCCATGCACTCTAGACAGTAACAACCAATCACCGCGCCCCATTCCATGCACTCTAGACAGTAACAACCAATCACCGCGCCCCATTCCATGCACTCTAGACAGTAACAACCAATCACCGCGCCCCATTCCATGCACTCTAGACAGTAACAACCAATCACCGCGCCCCATTCCATGCACTCTAGACAGTAACAACCAATCACCGCGCCCCATTCCATGCACTCTAGACAGTAACAACCAATCACCGCGCCCCATTCCATGCACTCTAGACAGTAACAACCAATCACCGCGCCCCATTCCATGCACTCTAGACAGTAACAACCAATCACCGCGCCCCATTCCATGCACTCTAGACAGTAACAACCAATCACAGCGCACCACTCCATGCACTCTAGACAGTAACAACCAATCACAGCGCACCACTCAACGCACTCTAGGCAGTAATGGCGGCGCTTTGAATACACCCGGCATCCTAGTTTTCCTCATCTATTTTGTGATCAACAAAGAAACTTAGGGCTGCATGATAAATGGCATGTGATTGTCATGCGCATCTCGTCAGTAAAGCCGGTTCTGTGATTAATAGTAAATCTCCATCACCTGCTTTCAGATGGATACACAGAGCCGTAGATCACTGCAATATTGCCTTCATAATCGCAGATGAGTCGCATTCGATTATGAACGCGATATTGCGCAGCTTGTCAGTGTAAGTGTTTTTATTAATGCCATTAATGTTTTTGTTAATACAGCGTATAGCACTAGTTAACTAAATGAATGTAACATGGCAAAGATGAATGCACTTTTGGAAGTTGAATGTAAGGGAAATGTCATTTAGGAATTTCTGTGGTCTAATGTGATATTGTTCATGTTCTTGTTCATGGTGAAATTTTTTTATTGTTGTAATTAATTTATAGCATTAACAAGATGACCCGTTGAATTCTTTTTGGGAGCGATGACTGACTGAATGTATTTTTAGTCCAGTGCCTGCATATAAGAGATTAGTATCGACCAAGTTCAGAGGCTGTCAGATATGGATTAACCATGTTGTGTATTTTCAACAGTTTCAATATGAAAAATTAATTTTATATTGATTCAATGGATTTATTGCATTTTGGAACCAAACTCTTCAAATATTCTTGGCCAGTAAATTTCACCATTGGCAGGTGTGACCCAAGATTACTCCTGGACCCTTACAGCACAAACAGGAATGTTGGTAGTGTTCACGTGGCTCGTGACTCATGTTATCAGATGTGTCCCACCTCGCACTGGCTGCGCAGGCCCGTCTCCTGCAGCCGAGACCAGATGCTCTGGATGCGCCCGGCGTGTTCGGGGTGTGTGTTGCTGTTGCCACACATGCACTGGTGCTTCTGCATGAGAGAGTCGTACACCAGACCTACAGAAAAATGCACAAGGCACATGCAGAAGCTTTCACTGGAGCGTTCATGAATTCTGTATTAAAGGCAAGGCAAGGCAAGTTTATTTATATAGCACATTTCGTACACAATGGTAATTCAAAGTGCTTTACATAAAAGGAAGTAAAATAATCATAAAAAAAATCACAACAATAAAACAAGGAATTTAAAATGATTTAAAACTGGATTTAAAATGAATTTAAAACAGTTAAAAATAGAAAATGCTTATGCTCGCCTATACTCACATAATAACCTCTCCCTTCTAAGTATGACCTGAACCATTTAATTACCATGCCAGAAAGCCCGACCCAGTTTTCCAGTCTCTCTAGTAGTATGTTATGATCGACCGTGTCAAACGCAGCACTGAGATCTAGTAGTACCAGTGCTGATATTTTGCCAGAATCAGAATTTAAGCGAATATCATTTATTATCTTAATGAGTGCTGTCTCTGTGCTGTGATGCGGTCGGAAACCAGATTGAAAATTGTCCAGTATTTGAAAAAGTTTAAGTATTTGTTCAGCTGATTAAAAACTACCTTTTCAATAATCTTGCCTATAAAAGGAAGATTTGATATTGGTCTATAGTTGCTCAAAATGATGTTATCAAGATTGCTCTTTTTCAGTCACAGTTCAGTTCAGTTTAAAGTCACAGAGAGGGCAGTACGGTGTGACGCACCTGTGGTAAAATGAGGTCTGGAAGGCTGTTCCTGCGAGCTGATGAATGAGGCGGACGCAGGAGATGACTGGGCTCTGGACAGAGGACGGTGCCCTGGGAAACAGACCGATGCACCGGCCGACTCCATGGACGCTTGGTAGTTTCTGAGCTGATGGATCCTCTGCTGCTCCAGTAGAAGAGCCTGCTGCTCACACACACACACACACACACACACACACACACATTACAGGTGCTGTGGACTGACAACCAACCACAAGAGGGCGACACAAAGAGCAAACTCGGCATCTCTCTCTCCCATTGGTTTGCCTTTAGGCTCTAGGTGTCTCGCACCTGTTTGAAGAGCAGCTCTTGTTCTTCCGGTCTCTGCTCCTCTGTGAGATCAGGAGGTTCCTGTTTAATGAGGAGGCTCATGGGAAGTGTTTCCGTCTGTGTGGCATCCTGCTGCTCTCGGAGCTCTTCCTCCGTCTCTTCTGGGTGGCTCTGGTGCTGCCGATCACAGGGTTTACTCAACATCTAACAGACAGACAGAGTAAAGACGATAAATCCTAATAAATCATTGTTTCAGGGTAGGGCTGGGCGGCATATCGAGTTTGTACGATATATCGATATAATCTTTATAAGCGATATGGTATGAAGCAATACCGTTTATCTCGATATACAGTAGTTTGATACGAACGCATCTGAAAAAGTGGATGAGACAGTGAGCTGCTGCGGGGCAAGTGCATAATCCATTTTGTCCTAAACATGAGACATGCTTTATATTAAGGGCTTTAAAATAACTGGTAAGATATAGCATAAAAATACAGATTTTTTTGGCCCTATCGCCCAGCCCTATTTCAGGGTACAGTTCAGTTGTTGCTGAAAACGTATATTGAGTTTATTAGTCGTTTTGCTGATGCTTTTGTCCAAAGCAACTCACATTGCATGTTATCATTCCCTGGGAATCAAACCCATGACATGGCGTTGTTAGCACCATGCTCTACTTTTCACCATTTTACATTTTTTCACCATGCTTTCTTGAACCATATTGAGGTGTTCTCATTTAGACAGACAAAACAGCTGCTCTTCATTCAGGACTGCAGGGACTGTAGGAAAGAAAGTCTTTTCTCGAACACTGAGTGAATGGACTCACTTTGGTTCAAGCTAGAGCAACTGGGACTAAATACATAAGACTAAATTTAATTTGATGCTTTTATTCAAAGTGACCTGCAGTGCACTCAAGGTGCCAAAGCCGAGCTGAACTACATCGTCACAGAATCAAAAGCCTGTCTGTAGCCAGGCTGCAAACACCCGCTGGCCAGGCGCCAGAGAACATTACTGACGTCAGAGCCTCCTTTGTTTCCTCATCTTTATCTTTCTTCCAAACAAGCGTTTCTTTTTTCCTTCCTTCTGAACGTGAGGAACTCCAGAGTGAGAAGCTTCCAGCCGGACATCGTCACAGAATCAAAAGCCTGTCTGTAGCCAGGCTGCAAACACCCGCTGGCCAGGCGCCAGAGAACATTACTGACGTCAGAGCCTCCTTTGTTTCCTCATCTTTATCTTTCTTCCAAACAAGCGTTTCCTTCTGAACGTGAGGAACTCCAGAGTGAGAAGCTTCCAGCCGGAGACCCTCTGCTGAAAGACTGATGTTCAGTGGTGTGTTTAAATACACAGACACGCAGAGACTCGCACGGGAGAAGCACACGGCCCTGCAGAGTTTAGCTTCAACCCTAATTAAATGCACCTGATCCAGTTCTTTAGGCTTATTTGAAAACTACTTGCTATGTGTGTCAAAGCAGGAAATAAACTCTGCAGGGCGACTGTGGCTCTCCAGGAACTGAGTTTTGCACTAGGGCTGTCAAAAAAAAATTTGAATTTCGAATAGAATTGAAAAAAATATCCACATTTTTAGTTCTGCGTCAGCCGTCAGGCAGCTTATCAGTGGCGCACGAAATGCGACAACGATGTAAGTGTCACTGCATTTGAATGCTTTTGTTAGCCTATCCAGTTGAACCCACTAGATGCGGCGCTGCTACGTTGTTCATTCAATATATTGCGGAAAACGAGAGCATCAGTGTGGAGATGTTGTTTACGTCAAAACTGAAACCAAGCCGTTCACACAGAACGCATATTTCGCACATTTTCTAGAGGGACATCTATCATCTAAATTAATGTAAGATCAACTTTTAAAAAACATGTCTAAAGACGTTATGGCGGTTTTCCCCATCCCACTGCATCTCATGTTTTTAAATGTAGAAAGTAACTTACTCTTTGTGATTGGTTTTCGGTCCTTTGTATTAAACTATACATACATGCATGGTGCTGTTTTTTTTCTTCTAATTGTTTAAGCAACTTTATTAATTATATATGGTTTATAAACATTATTTTAAACATTATGCACATTTTTCTCTCAAAGATAGTCGTGTTATTTTATTACGCTTTGAAGAAACGTGCATGATATTAAGCTCGATGCGCCCTCTTGTGGCCTCAGGAGAGAAGCCAGAAGCTTTTTTTCCCCTAACTGAAATTATGCCTTTTAAATTCGAATATAATAAAAATTTTGATAATATTTAAGTAAAAAATTCGAATTTAGTTTTTCAGTCATTTTGACAGCCCTATTTTGCACCCTGCTGTAGAGCACCACTGAACAAGCCCGTTCTGCTGATATGAAACCTTGACCTCACATTATATTCGGCGGGACTCGAAACTCAGGCCAGATCCTCAGCTGTCAACATACCATCATGTGCTGGTAAAATATCTGTTTCCTTGCAGCATTCACCATTAACCACCTGAACGGTAACAGCAGTAAACAGAACCGCAGGGACGATATTAATCACATCCACCTGAGATATTCCCAACAACTGAGTCTCCGCTACAGCTAATTATTACAAGCACTTCATCTGTCATGGTAGGGATAGGGTGAAGAGACTGATGTCTGACCTTGTTGATGTGGAGCTGCTGGAAGTGCTGCTTGTGTTTCTCCAGGAACTGCTGGTGCTGTTGTTGAACCACGAGCTGCTGGAGTGCCTGGCTGCTCTGGGGCAGAGGAGCCGACTGAGTGCGGCCCAGCGTCCGGTGCTGACGCAGCTTCTGCAGTGGACTCGCTCCGATACCTGCAACAACAGACATTCCTCATGAACACACGCATGTGGGCGCCAGGATACACTCACGACAGCTGGGCAGAGATAATCTGACAGCCGTCTCGGTTCAACTGAGTTTCCAAAACCGCTTGACACTGAAACACCCTGTAAAATACGTTCATTCATTCAGGGTTCTCCACAGACGTCACGACCGTCCATGCGTGGCTGACCTGGCATCTGAAGACGGCTTTGGGTCCCGCGGGTCTCTGCACCCATTTGATCGGGTTCATTGTTTCGCTTCCTGCTCCCATTCAGATAATTAGAGGCGTATTCTTCTGGTCCTGTGGGAGCGCGAGTGAACCCAGCTGGCACGCGGTGCTGGCATGAAGATCGCTCCGCCTGGCACACCGTGTTCCTCTGACCTCCTGCCGCGAGCGACTCGGAACACTGATCTAATTAACCGAGGGACCCCGGACTCGGGCCGCACCTCAGCCCCGTTATGGGCAACGGACTGTTCACACATTTCAAGGTTTATGTAACGCTTTGACAGCGGCCCTGGAAAACGCTCCGCGATCCGGGTCAGTAGCTATTACGCAAATAAAAAGGTTTGTAATGGCCTGCACACTGTTACTAAACCAGGACAGAAACTCAAAGAACTCTGAGCTCTACTCACCTGCGGCCAAAGGACTCGGTGAGGCTGATTGCTCCAGAAGGACCATGTGCTGCAGCAGTGCATTGTGGGAGTTTGCAGTGTCCGAATTGCCAAGAAATGACGGCAGGTGAGAGGCGACCAGGAACGGAGTGCTTATGGGTAAACCGGTCACAGACAAACATTCGCTGTCAGGCTGGGTAGACGTCACCTTGTTGAAGAAGCAACAAAATAAAACTGAGCCTTTTCCAAAGCATCACATGACGAAGCAAAAGGAAGATGAGTGCTGACCAAACGCTCCTAACCAGGTGGACAAACACAGGTCGATTATGACTGTTTCTCACATGCAGATCAGATCAGTACGGTATTAACTGGGAATGTTACAGTGTTACAGTCTAATTACTATGTCTATGTTCCAGTATAAATATCTAAACATCCTTTAAAAACTACATTTACATTTACATTTAGTCATTTAGCAGACGCTTTTATCCAAAGCGACTTACAATTGGGGGATACATAAAGCGATTCTTCTTAAGAGAGGCAAACAGACACAAGAAGTGGTTGTAATACCAAGTTCTTAGACATTGTTCAAATAAGTACAAGCTAGAAAGAGAAGGAATAAATAAA